ACTAAGTAGATACAACTTGCGGTTCTTATGGCTATGGGGAGAAACAGTATCATATTTATAATGTGATGTTGTGGGTGTATTCGGAACTAATCCATCTGATAACACCTATAGAAGGAGTAGAAAAGAAATGGAATGTACTCATCCTTTAAAAAACGTCCGTTATAGGAAGTTCAATCAATTTCAATGCTCTCGATGCTTTAAAAATGGTATCCCCTGATGTTCTTCCTGATGTGCAAGTAAGTTTCTTCCATAATTTTCTCTGCTATTCGTTTCCATTAGAAAAGTGGTTACGCTGATTTTGAAGTTTATGTTCATCGAAATTTTTGAAAGTGATGCCAGTGCTAGGCTCTTCATCTTCGGTTAACTGACTATAATCCGTCTTTTTCATTGTTCTACGTCGGATTGCCAATCGTCTCGGGGAATTGATGGCAGCGCTACGACCCTCTCCCTATAATCGGGGTCTTGATACAGCCTCCTCTGGCCTTCCTAAGCGGAACGATTGCACAACATCAGATAGGTATCGGTCGTCCGAAACGATCGCGCGGTCGATACGAATTTACTCCTGTGCGATAGGATCGCCTAGGTATGGTTTGCTAGGACAGAAAGCGATTTTTTTTCGCGTTTTCGCGCGAAACATTTTCGCTGCGGGAACTCCAGGTCCACTCATGATCAGCGGTGGACCTGAGGTTCCTACAGCGAAAATACGCGCTGCGAAACGCGAGAAAGTCGCTTTCTGTCCTAGTGAGCCACACCCGGATCGCCTTCATAATAAAACCGGTCTGAAAAATGTAGCCGAAGCCGCTGAAAATCACGGAAATCTGCACTATTTAGAAAGGCTAGCATTCCTCCATTTCATTACCTTTTGGCTGACTTGGATAGAGCTAGGGTCACAGTTACCAAGCAGTATCAAGGTTGCCCTGGAAGCCTTCCAAGATGAAGTTTTTAAAAGCGGAGGACTGACTAGTTTTAATAGCCTGTTTCACTTTTCAAATTCTAATCCCTAATTACCTAGTTGAAGAGATCTTTGCGTTGAGGATCTATCGAGAGCAGTCTTCGATCATTAAAAAGTCGCTTTCCTCACCACTGTTGCGGGCTAATTCGTTGGCAACATCTGAAATGTGTGGTGAATATATTTCTATGGTGTAATTGATGAGGAAAGGGGCAGTCGTCATTGACTGACTTCGCTCTGGTATAGGCCATGCATTCGATCTCCACTCAAAATTGCAGAATCAATTGAAAGGTGTTAGGTGATGGTGGTCTCTTGGTAGAAACTGAAGTATTGCAGTAAACACACGTCGTTTGTAAAAACACATTTCATCTGTTTCTAAAACGTTACGCCTCCTCCCTCCACCCCTCGCTGTAGTATGATACCCCGGATGAGCTCGTTACTAGCCTTAACCATTACGATCCCCTTCCTCCAATTGTGACAGTTATGACCCCTCATCGAGGATTTCCTCTACCGATGTTCTTGTTCTAAGAAATTCTGTCAACTGATAGAATAAGGGCCTAGCTCCTGTATAGATATAGGGCTGTTTCATGAGTTTTTTTTACGCTTGACAACTGCTAATTTTTATGAGTAACTGTACCTATTTGAGAAGCAGTAAGCAGTTATGAGAAAACCATGGCTCGTTTTTTTCTTGTGTCATGTTTAAGTTTTACAACCCTTCAGGCCATCGATAGTCTGTATGTCCGCATCCTCTGGAGAGCTCCGCGAGCATTGCATACGACCGCTTTCGAGGGCAGCCGTAGCCGGGGAGCTCTCCAACGAGGGGCCCCTCTCTGGTTGAAAGAGCACAGCATACGGCCCCTGGGCTGCAGTTGCAAGCAGGCGTAACGAGGGTTTTGACTGCACGCACGCCCACGAGACGACGCTGTTGTTCCACTCCATTTTCAAAAGCGGCCACAACACGATACACAAGCGGAGTGATTCGAATGGTGCGAATAAGATTCGCTTTCCCTAGATGGAACTCGAGTCGTTATTGATGTTGAAGTCACTAGAGCTAACATGGACCGGTGGAAAAAACATCTTTTTGCACATACAAATTTGTTCACCCTCCCACGAGTTTCCTACATGTGATGCATAATTTGCTTACCCTAATACTCGGGGCTTCATCTATAGTGGGAACAGCATGGTTAAAGAATCCGAGCTTCGCACATCATCTTCCTACGGATTTGTCTATCAAAATGGGCATCCACCCACATGAAAAGATGGTGGCACACACGCGCGTCTCGATACACCGGAGGTCGACAAGGACCTGCATCTAAGCACACGCTCTCCACGGCTGCGAGTAGGCGTCGAGGCCAGGGCCCGGTTGCCCGCCCACTTTGAAGGCGTTAGACCTCTCTAAAAGTTCTTTCAAAGGTGACTTTAAGTTATTAACACTTCCTATGTACTGGACTAGGGCTAGTGTTTCTTTTCACCACATAAGAATCGAATGGTCAATCCTGCTGGGACTGTAGCTTCAATGAAAAAAAATTCATAACTTGGTTACAATGAGGCCTATAATGAAAAAAAATTCATAACTTGGTTACAATGAGCTTCTGTGCCACGCGGATAACTGCTCGATTTATTCGACCAACGAAATCGCACCTCAAACTTGGGTAATTAAACGAATAATAAGAGCAAATAATCTACCATTACATTACAAGAATACGGAATAACGTGGGATACAAAAAGAAGCGGTAAGTGATCAATCTGTGATGATAAATGAGCATAATTCAGCTACAGATGCTAGAGAAGGCATGGAGAATTAGATACTAAGCGAAAGCATGAAAAATGAGTCATGAACCATAAAGGCCAGGTTGCGCCATGCATAGGAGAGATGGGAAAAAACCATAAGTGATGTGGAGTGTTGTCACCCTAGAATATTGATTGTCCATTGCAGATGTCATATGTCAGCTTAAAGAACATGAAAAGGAAGTCTTGAACTACAAATTAGGGATAAGCCACGCACTAGAAACGATGTGTGTAAAGCATGAACATTACATCTTGAACTAAGTTCTTGGAAGAGGCCATAACTAGAGAGAGAGTACATAAAGCAGGATTAAGAAAGCATGAACTAAGGACTTAGGATAAGTCATGAACTAGACAGGAGGAAAAAATGATGCATGAATAAGAGCAGGAATTGAGAACATGAGATAAGCCATGAACTCAAGAAAGGAGGAAAAAGGCAAAAGAAGAGAAGGGAAGGCCATAAGGCATATCATGCACTGGACCCATGCACCGCTGTCGACTGTCCTCTGCGCCTCGAAGCCTCCTATTTATGCGGCGATCCATCAGCGCCTTCAATAGAATGTTCAACAAAAGTCTCTCCCACTCAAAACAAAGAAAGCTGCAAGTTGAGATTTTTGCGAAAGATAAAGCTTTCATGTTGGAAATCGTACAATTCTACATATAACTTTCTACCTGTAATTTCTCGAATCACGACGTTCGATAGCCTACAGCGCGCAAATAAAATGGTGTAGGGAAGCAATGTCTAAGGTATTTCAAGCATAAGTGACGTGAGCGAAGCCCCTCCCATAATGGGCGGAGCGTGACCTAGGGTGGAGAGCGTTTCCTACAAGTCCTCATAATTCGGTTCCGAGAAGTCTTACAAGGTCTTTCAGGGCAAGGTGCGCTTTTTGGAAACGGTTTAGTACATGTTGTAGGGACGCATGTATGGACCACAAAACCATGTTTCGTTTTCGCTGAACGGTTTTAGTAGTACCAAAAAAGTGGTGAATAATACTCTTGATGGTTCATCCCCCGCGGCGACTAAATTTTGCAATCAAGGTTGGCGGCCACTTGTTGGCTTCAAAATGGTCCTGACGATGAATTGACATCTGATTTTGATATTTAGCGCGATTTGGCACCAAACCGTAGGCGCCAACCCAAATGCAAAATTTAGTCGCCACGGGGGATCGAACCCTTAACAGTACCTTATGCTTCTTTTTTGGTACTGCTATAACCGTTCAGCGAAAATGAAACATGGTTTTGCGTTCCCTACATGCGTCCCTACAATATGCACAAAACCGTTTTGAAAAAGCGCACCTTGCCCTGAAAGACCTCCCTTGTTAGATAGCGGCAAAAGCTACCTCAACGGCGGGCGTGGCGTACACAAAAGTCGTCGAAGTTTGCTTTCAAACCTATAACTCGGTTCAAGAAGTCCCAAAGACAGAGAAAAAGTGGGTGGAGGTTGATGAGGGAGATGAGGTTAGCCGCTGTGGGCACTAGGGTGAAATCTCGAGGAGAGGGCAGAAGGACTCCGGGTGGGTGAGCCAATCAAAGTGAGGGAAATGTTTCAGTGCGTGAAATCACAGTAGTCCAATCGCTGATGAAGCGTTGTTTAAGCGAGAGAGCGCAGGCGGGCGTATCAAACGAAGCGGTTTGGAGGACCGAGTTTATCCATGGACAATCCTGGAGAAGTAGTGCCTCAGCTTGAAAGAACTGCTCACAAACTCTCAATATGGGCAACTATCGAGGAGCGCTGATGAAATGACCTAGTTTAAAAATTTTCAGGCATGTCTCCGCTGAAAGCAAAAAGCCAACTACCTGAGGATCCGAACCCGCATATTCTCGCCAGTAGATCAGGACCACTACCACTGCGCTTTTTGGCTTCATAAACAGTCCAGGGAATCGTTTAGAAGATGGTGAAAGCATATTTGAGCTCAGCGCAGATGCATATAGAAATGCACATCTTATTTCAATTAGTCGGTTTTACCTGTGACCGTTTCTGGTCAGCCGATAGTGAGAGAGGCCTCCTTAGTAGATTGTCAGGCTGATGTCAGACTTTGCGAATTCGCTAGCGTCTGCGGTCGCGTCGCGGCCAGTGAATCACTCAATTGGCTGGTACCGCAACGCGACCGCGGACGCTAGCGAATCGCGCGATTCGCAAAGTCTGACATCGGCCTAGCTTGGAGATTGAAGAGATGTCGATTACTGGTGCAATGTCACAAGCGGAATGATTCTGAGCGCTTTCCTTGTTATCCGCGCTTGCAGTGGTGCGAAGTATGAAGGCAGTCTATCATAGAAAAGGCTCTTTCAAAAATTTTTGTTCGAAGGGCACATTTACAACCACAAGATGGAGTTGTTTTTGTCAAAAGAAACAAAGCTGTGGAGTGGACCACCTGTGAGCGAAAGTAGAAGAAGTAGCCGAAAACGTAAAATTAGGGTCTTCTATGAGACACATTTTGCTACGGCGAAGAGATATTGAGCACGCTGAAGAGAAATAGGCGCGATGGCGTGTCAGGCGAGAGGGTGCTGGCCACACGCATACCATCGCATGTAACGCAATAGACGTATTCGTGTACTGCGACATTGGAGTAACCCTTAACTGTGTTGAAGACAAGTAGAAGAGAAAGATTTATTAATTAGTTGGAATCAACATTAATTGAACGAATAACAAAGATCACTGGAGGCGGATGGTGTCCGAGGAGTGGGAGACCACTGCAGAGGTCCACAACAGGTGCAGGGCGTAAGCCGGGGAACCACAAAAGCTTCCTTCTCGAGCCACTAAGGCTCTTCTCAATGGGGCCACTTAAGCCAAATCAGTGAGCCACTAAGGCTCCTCTCTGACGAGCCACTGAGGCTCTTTTGCAACGCCACAAAGGCTACCTCTCTTGAGCCTAGGCCCTCTTTCCTACGGACCGTACAGCTCCCAACAACCTCACCGATAAGGCACCACACAAATGCCACTGAAACAGTGCGACTTGACACAGGCACTCAGGAACCGCAGAGCTTTGGAACACCAGAGTTGGAACTGGAAGTGGAGTACTGCATAGGAACACGGACCCCTTTTATTGGGACCTTCCCGCGCGACTCGTTTCCCTCTGGCAAAGGTGGCCTCTCATGACCCCCGCGATCAACTACCATCTCCACGTCGATATACCGCTCGGATCAGCTGATCTACAGCTGATCTTTCGAGGCAGCCATGTCAATATCTGACACGCAAGCAAGAGCAAAATTGCTCGGCAACTTGTCATCACTTCATTGCCAACTATCAGCATCATTTTGCAAGTGGTAACAAAGAAAGACCACAGAGTTCAACAGAGTTTGAGCAAGGCATTTAATTTTCTTAGAAAATGACTGCACTTATTTTTCCACGACCACATATATGAGATTCGCTGTTGTAAT